GGAATTGATTGATTTTTATTTTTATTATTTTTCGATTTATATCCTGCCTTTTTCCTACAAGGGCTCAAGGCAGCTTACATCTCCTCCTCCATCTTATCCCCACAACAACAACCCTTTGAGGTAGGTTGGGCTGAGAGTCTGTGACTGGCCCAAGGTCACCCGGTTGGCTCCATGGCTGAGTGGGGACTAGAACCCAGGTCGTCCCGAGTCCCAGTCCCATGCTCTTAACCACTACACCACCCTGGCTCCCCAGGGATCGAGGGATTGATGGGGGATCGAGCCCCGTTTCAGGGCCAGAATGCCCGCTTCCCCGTTGGCACATGCAGCATTCGATTTCCTGCACTTGTTCAAGCAGAGAAGAACTGAAAAGTCTCATTTATACCATCCCATCTCTCCTCTGAAATAACGAGGGGACTCAGATATAGGGAAGGTGACACCCCCCCGGGGGGGGGGAGGTCTCCCATCCCCTTTCCTCCCTGCAAGTGCCTTCCAAGGCGGCTCCAGTGGGGAGAGGAGGTTGTATGTGGGAAGCCTTTTTCTCACCAGTAATCCTTGACATTGATCCCTTTTTTAGTAGTATGAACTATTACGTAACACACTTCTAGTATGATGAATATTTTCTGTACTGGAGAGAGAATAAGCTGAGCAATTCTTGTGGCTTGCACTTTTGTGGCGGTCCCAGTCGTTTTTGGGAGGAACCCCGGGAAGGGGCAAAATGGATAGAGGGGAGCAAACACTCACACGCGTGTCATTCTCTTGAAAAAGAGTTGGAATGGCCAGTTTTAAACAGATGCTGTTGTTCTGATCAGAGTCCACATTGGAAAGCTGACTTGGCATTCCCTCTTTATGACACTTTTAGCCTTCGTATAGATCGGATCTTCCTTTGGTCAGCGTGCCTGAGGGACCCACGCCGTCAAAATCTTCTGTTTGCCATCTCAAGGACTGTCGCTGAGAGATAATTTCCGGTGCGAACTTTCTGGCTATGGAAGAGAACGCAGGGGTAAGTACACCCATTTTCCATCTCTCTCTTCATGTAAACGGCGGCTTGATGGCCTGTGGCAGCGTCGTTCTCCTGTAGCTAGAGCCGCCTGAGAAAACCCTTCCCTTCGGTTCTCAATGTGCATGCAGTTTTACCGAACTTTGTTGTTTGCTGGGGGCCATCTGTCTGAGTTAAATTTGGGAGCGCAATGTTGAGCACGAAATCATTTGGTGGGGTAGAGGCCGACGTTCTTCCTTTGTCTTCCCCCATGCAGTAGACGGTCCGCCTCAGAGGGCCCCGGGAAGGGTCTCGCATGAAGGCCACGTCTCTTCTTTGCAGCTGGGGTTGACTGCTCCAGGGTCCCGAAGACACCGACCGGGCACTTGATCTCCCAGAACGTTCATCAGAGAAATGACGAGCATCAGACCGTGATCGACGACGTGTTCTCTGCTGGAGATGGAGAGCGGCAGACAGACCGATTCACGCAAAGTGAGTGTCTGACGTGCTGCTGCCAAAGCCCTTGGCATCAGAATTGTTTCTGCGGACGCAGCTCGTGTGAGGAAGATGCCCCCTGGCACCTCCCTTAAATTTTTCCCGTTGACATTGCCGATGTAGCATCCTTTTAATAGTGACTTCGGTGGGGATAGGTTCCCTGATGTACCTGCTGAAGCTGCCGTCACTCCTTCCGTGCACCATGTCCCGGCAGGTAGAAGGAGGCCGCCCCCCCAAATCCACAGTCCTCCAGATTGCTTTGGGCGCTGCCCCACACATATGCAGGCAGGAAGAGGGCCTGCAATTCGCATAGTCCCGCAACGGGCTGTGGAATCACGTGTGGCTTAACATGTGTAGGTTTCCACCGCGCTTCATTTTCCTTGCCCTTCCTGATCCTGCTCCACAGCTGTCCAGCCTGTGATTTTGCGCGGCTTGTGCTGATGACGACCGGGCAATACTACCCACCCCTCTTACGTTTTGACCTTTCAGGGAGATGCTGGCAGTCCCGTCATTCGTGAGGCCGATGCCAGGAAGGAGCTGCGTGGGACCGTCAGCGGGGCGCTAGCTGTGCCGAGAAGGAGAAACCCGCAGTCTAAACGGGGGACCCACGGGTCGCATCGCACCTGAATGGAGTCCGAGACAGGACCCACCGCCCTCCTGGATGAACGCAGGGACTTCCTTTGCAGCCTGCTGAGCGACTCGTTGAAAGCGAGCAAATGAACGTCACTGTGTGAAGCCTGCTCTGGAGCTGATTTTTCCTCGGCGGTTATTTTTGCAGCTTCTCGTGTCATTTTGCCTGAGGCAGAAATCTTCAGCCCTCGCTGAAATAAACCTTGTCCCACTGAAAAACAGGCCCGTATCTCAAATCTGAAGGGGAGCTGCTCTGTCGGGCCATCCGATCTGTGCCACTGCATCTCTAGAAATTAGTATTAAATCGTGGTGTTATGTTTTCTGGTGAGTCCTAAAATGAGCTATGAATTCGCTCACCTTGGAGCCACCCAGAAAAACAAAGGACCAAGGAGGACGTAAGGATGTGGTCTGAGCTGGTGGAAACAGAGCTTCACTGGAACGGCCGAGCTTCATGAGATTAGAGAGCCGTGCCCTTGGCATCAGGGTCTGTCATTCTCAGGGATGTCCTGCCTTTGCCCCTATGTCTGAAAGCCACTGCACGAACCGTCCCTGAGCCTGCGGAGTTGTGTATATTCACACTGTGAGCTTGGGTGGCCTTTGGCAGACATGGGGCAGGGTGACCCCTCACAACGAAGTTGAAAATTCATTGTTGCTGAACCTTTTCTTTTCAAATAAGCTTTTATTCATTGAACTTGTAATATCTCTTTTGGGGCTGAATGGCCCCTTGTCAGTTAATGATTTTACTTTGACCTCTTTTTCATGANGGGGGGGGGCACAATCAGTGCAGGCTGACGATGGAGGAGCCCTTAGAGCGGCTCACGCGGAAGTCCGTACAGGCGTCATCACCGGTGTATTTACCGGCGTGCAGTGCGCGCAGAGCGCCCGTGTAACGGATTGGGCCTGTCAGCTGTCAATCACCTCGACCATTAGAGGTTCGCAGGGCTAGAGCGCCCAAGGAGTCAGTGCGGCGGTTCGCATTATCCTTTCAGAAGCGGCAATAGAGTAACGCTCCTTCGCGCTCACGCCTGGCCCCGGAGAAGAGCCGATTTCCGTCCTTTACCGGAAGTTCGGCGTGCGTTGGCCTAAAGGTTCCCCCTTGTGTGTTTCCGGCAGCCAGAAGATGCCGCCGGCCTTGCAGAGGCGTTCCATAGACGTACGAAGGAGAAGAGGTGCCGCTCCTGCACTGTGCACCTCCAGTAGGGATTAGATTCTCCAGGCTTGGACTCGCAGCTGCCCTACCTCGCAGGGCTGTTGTGACGATAGAACGGGGAGAATGGGACTCGTGGGCGCTGCCTTGGGGTTAGGATGATCTCCAAGATCATTTTCATGTGGGCTATCGTCAAGGGACAGAAGAGCTGCAAGTATTTTGTGGGAAGGGCTAGCCCTGATGCCCCTGGGTGCCTGCCTTCTCCCCGCTCCGCTCTCATTCTTCTTTTCTCATTTCCTTCTCCTCTGCCATGACAAACGGCTCAGAAGAGAGGATGTCTCATGAGAGAAAAGGCTGGTGAAAGCCTTTCCTTTAAAAAAAAAAAAAAATAAGTTTTATTATTCTTATTTTCTACGAGCTAAAAAATAAAAAAACTAAAAACATCAATCATCAGAGACATCGGAACTGCTGGGTCAGCCCCCCCCCCCCCCCATTTTTTTCTACCAATCCATAGACATATTCAAATCTGCACATAGTCTCTTTTCTCTAGCCAGTAATAAAAAGAGTTCCAGGTTTGACTGAAGTATGTATCCTCTTTCTCCTTCAGAGACAGAGTCAGCCTGTCCATTTCAGCCCAATCCAGGATCTTTTTACAAATCAGTTCATCAGAAGGTGGTTCTTCACTCCTCCAATGTGGGGCAAATACAATCCTTGCTGCAGTAATCACTACATGTAAATCAAATAGGTTGCCTGTTTGTCAACGTCATCAGACACAATGCCTAATAAAAAGACTTC